ATTCCTGCTCTCCCTCTGCCTTCTCCCTACCTCCCACTCGGCCTCTGCAGAATTGCGTTAGGAACCGTGATCCTGCGAACACCGCCTCGCTCTTGGGTTTTTTTTTTTTGCCGTTTCAGGCAACTGGGATGTACGCATGGCCAATGCCAGCGGTGGGACTGTAGGTTCAGCTGTGACAAGCAGGGTGTTACTACCACGGGGTGACAGGCACCTCTGCAAGATAACTCAGGTTGCCATGGTTACAGATGGAAAATAGGGCTACGGGTTAACTTGGGCCAGTGTCGCATGAAGCACAACATCTCACGTCATTCTGCACACACCTGAGGCAGTGAAAGCTGGAGTGGTGGCCACCACAAATCCCTGAGTCCCCATCCAGCCCTGAGTCTGTGGGTTAAACTTCCCAAAACTTCCCGAAGAGAAATCACAGCCTCAGGGATGGAGTTGGGGTTGGGGCAGAGCAGCCTCCTGCGAGACTCCGGCAGAAGTCTCAGCCCCATGCTCTGTTATTTATTACTTATCGGCGTGCCCCAAATGTTAAGGCCTTACCTAAGCTCTGATTTTTCTGAGCTTTCACACTCTAAATACTTAAAAGGAATTCTCAGTCAGCACGCACCTCACCTCTGGACTGCGGTTGCATCTTGGAGGCGAAGCGGGTACCTTCAGCCGGACCGGAGGGCTGGAGCCGACACAGACTCTGATGGACCAGCCAGGGATGCAGCGTTCTGAGCGTCCCCAGGACATGATCATCTTCAGGACTTGGTGAAAACCTCCCAGGCAAACAAAGGGACAAATGAAGCCTGGAATGAAAAAAAAAAAAGAAAGGGGGGGGGGGGAAGTTTATACCCCAAGCGTCTCTGTTACTCACTGGTAGTTTTGGAAGCTCCATGACATCGCTCTGGGATGCTGCTATTTCTCTTTCACGGGAACCTGCAGCACGGGATGGCCATGCTAAAGCCTGAGGAGGCCGGTCCTGCCAGGCGGATTTCGGCGTGCTACCGCCGCTACTGCTGCCTCCCAAAGAGAGAAACTGTGCGGGCACAGGTATCTGGGAAGAGGAGGCCATGGGCCTGCTGGGAATACCTTGGCTTTTGGAGCGTTGCATCCCTCCGTTAGACGGTCCAGCCCCGAGGAAGGAAAAGTGGCAGCGTGGGAACGGAGCTCAAAAGCAGAGGCTTGTGTCCAGTGCAGGGCAAACAAATGGTGTTCACCCCATTAACCTCTTCATACGGCTGAGCTTCGGCGCGCTGTTCAAAATATGTATTTAAAGAAGTCTTAAAAGTTTGTACCTTCATCACTATATATTCTTATTGCCTTGGGTTTTTAGGGGGAGGAATAGTATTAGAAGCTGGCTTAGAGGCTTAAAACCAGTCCTTGCCATTTCTTAGGTGCTGGCCCTCCCAGCAGCCGGGGCACTAATCCTCAGCTCCCATTTCCCCTTCGAAGGAGTAAACCGACGGAGTCACGTACGGGCTGCGAAGGAGCTGGTTTGTGTGGGGGTTTTTTGAAAGAGGAAAATAGTTGGCAGGAACATGAGCAAAGCTGAAAGTATTTTCATCTGTTTTGTTTTGTAATGTTTAATGTTTTGTTTTCTACTTTACGAATTATACAAAGGAATCATTCAAAACAAAGGTCTCCCATTCTGGAAAGAGGAAAAAAAAAAATCTACAGTGGGACTAATGTGACTAATCAGAATTGGCCAAGTAAGAAAAACCCCAAAGTATCTGGAAAAATGACAATATCTATTTTTTCTTAGGGGAAAAAAAAATAGAAAAGCTCTACCCCTAATTGAGATTTGTTTGCAAAATAATTCCGTGCTGCGAAGAGTAATCAACTCCTGCATAAAAATATTTTTGATATTAATTTTTCTTTTGTTACTCGCTTGCATTTTAAGAACGTACTAGTGGTTTTCAGGTGATTAGTGCAAAATACCTGTCCTAGCTTTTTAACTGTGGTGGTACCCCCGTTTTCTGAAAGGCTGCAGAAGAGAACGCACCAAAAAGACACAGTTTAAAAAAAAAATAAATCTTGGCAGTTTGAGGAGAAAACAGCTGGGGAAGGAGTCTGTTCTTGTGCCCACTTTTTTACGAGTATTTTAAAAAGGTAATAGCTTCTAATTACTTATTTTTAGAACCATCCAGAAGTCTCAGCTGAGACCCAGAGGCCGGTGCAGCTCCGTGCTCTACAAGCAAAGACAAGCTCACCCCTGGCCGAAGTCATTTGCAATCCCAATTTCAAGGCTGAGACAGGAGGCAGAGACAGAACTCGGCCGGTACCAGCACAGAGAGCCAAACGCCACCGTTAGTGACGGCGCCGGTTTATTCCGCTGGGCCGATGAAACCACTCTGAAGACGATAATTTTCAGTAATAATAATAATCATTTAAAAAAAAAAAAAAAAAAAAGCATTTCAGGAATTTTTCAGATAAGGACAAGCGATTTGTGGCACTGGGTTTTAAACGCTGTGCCGGCGGCTGGGCAGCCGGCGGTTAACGCGGCGCTGCAGGCAGGCGTGGGGCTCGCTGTCTGCGTCTGGCAGCTCCTGGGCGCTGGTGGGTGCTGCGCCGGGGGTGGGAGCGGGGACTGCAGC